TATAATATATTAATAAATAAATACTGGGGCATTTGGCAAAGAAATGTACAGTGCATACGATCAGTGTATCAGATATTTAAGCATCTTCTTTTCATTTTATATCCATCTTCAGCAGTATTACAGTACCTTAATTTTAAACCAATTATATGAATATTATCTTGTATGAGTCAATACTGCACAATGCTTTACCCATTTTGGAAAAAAAACAGTCTTTTTGAAATGTGATGCTTTTCCTTCTTTCTGCTTCTCACTGCTTTAAAAAAAAAAAAAAACAGGCATTGCCTTTGACAGACTATCTGAAATGCACCTCTTGAAATTACAACAGCCGCACTTGTTCTCTTTGAAATTACACTGCTCACTGAAGCTTTGTTCTGTGCCATTAAATTTGACCGAACCTTGTCCTAATCTGCACTGCATAATGTATCATATCTTTTTTTTGTAGTAAAAAAAAGTAGAAGGAAGTCAGAGTTGGTGTACTCTTTGCTATTAAAAGCTCACTCTGTATCTATTTATGTCAGTAGAAACACAGCTGATGTGAACACCAGACAAATTTGTTTGGGATCCTTGTTGAGAAGGACAATTTTTAGATATTCTGTTCCCATCCTCAGGTATATCCCTCTTTTTGGGCTTTGTTGAAAAGGCCAAACTGAACAATAAACTGTTGCTGTAACTCACAGTTTTAGATGTTTAGCTAGGAAGAGAAATAAATCACAAAGATAGCTTCACACTTAGAATCAGAGTTGTCCTCCACAGTAAAAGGTGTGTGATTAATCTCTGACATTGTTTTGCAGCTTTGTAAGTTGCAAATTTGTGTGCAGTTTTTTGGAAACTGGTCATTGGGAAGGAATAATCTCAATTTTCATGTTGACTATGTAGACGTGGCAGCTATGAAAAATTCATGCCTAAAGGGATAATGTGTTATCACCTTCTTATTTTGAAGATGCTTACCCCCAACCTGAATTTCTCTTTTGCTGCTATGTCAGTTGGTTGTTTTTACAGCTGATTTTTTTAAAGCACTCGTACACAAGGATTTGGGGGAGTGGAATGTGTTGAGTGTGTTATAGAATATTTTCTGTATGGGAATTCTAATATATTGAAGGATTAGAGTTGCGAGCCAGGTCTGTGTTAGGGTTTCATGTATCCTTCTTGAATTTCCTGATCTGGGTGGGAATTTTATTGTCTGCCTGGAATGGTTTGCCAAGAAAATGACATGGGACAAACCTCAATAACTAGAAAATACATCAGGGCATTTTTCATCCTGTTATTTGTTTGTATAAAATGCAACAACAACAACAACAACAACTGTACATGGCTAGTACAATTTAGAGAAAGTCTTTATGATGATTCTGGTCACAATGCTGCAAAATATCTACATTGTACATCTGCAACAAAGCACAACTTTTTTGGGAACTTAAGTTCCCAAAATTAAAGCACCTCCTAGTACATGAAGATTAAGTTGAGAATTAAACATGAGTAGGCTGCAACTCATCCATCCTCGAAGGCTATAGGGCTGGCTAATTTTTGCTGAGTGTTCCCCCCCCCAAGGTTTTATGATATAGTTGGTGGAGGAAGGAAGTTGATGGAATTGATTTAATTTTAGTTTTCACATCTTTTTTTGTATTTTTTTTTGAAGTATTTAGATGAGTCTCCAGTTTTTATCTCCATATTTATGAAACCATGGCATCTGACCAGCTGCTTTATGTTAGATCACGATCAAGGCTATTCATACAGAGTCTCTCATGAGTTAACAAAAAGTGCTGTTTGTGTGGTATTTGGAGCAGAATCCCATTTCTAACAGATCTGCTTTATTTCCCTCCCACCCACCCACCACCAAAAGAAGAAGAAGAAGAAAAGTTACTAGTCTTTATGACTGTGAAGCTGTGCTTGAGAATTTGTGGGCAGTGGAAAGTAACATCCAAGAAGCTATATAGACATACATATATATGTATATGTATATTTATATGTATATGTATGTATGCATGATGTAACCTAGGAAGGGGATGCTGTTGTGAATTACAAATGATGTAAGAGATACCATGTGGTCTTGCAAAATTTATGGAGGTCACAGGTACAGAATTCTTTTTCTTTTGCTTGGCTTCTTTTGCACAAAGTACACACAGCAATGAGCATGATTCTCATGTGTGTTTCAATTGATAGAGCTGTTGAACCATTTTTCAGGGACGTCCATGCTAAGATACAGTCTGTGAACTAAAATGGCCCCAGAACTTTTATCGTAAAGATGCTTTCATTAAACTCCACCCACAAAAAACAATTAGAACAAATTTGCTATACTTTTAACTGGTCAATAATCCAGTGGTTGCTGCTCTCTAATAGACTTCTCCCTGTCTCTGTGTTGTTGTAATGATGCCACATCACCCAGCTGCGTGCTGTGAGAATCAATCTGAGATCAATATTTTCTGTGAGCTTTTTGGGACTTTCAGAGACTATGAAAAAAGAAAAATAGCAACATGGGTCTTCTTCTCATGATTACGATCTGTCTGGATAAATCCTCTGTCCCAGCCGAGCTGCTTTCAACTGCCATTCTCCAAGGAAGAACCAAGGCCATTGGTTGCTTGCCTAAATGGAGTACTTAATTTACAGATACTGTTTCTAGACTGTATAGCAAGTTGCAGCTCAGTGTAATTGCAGCTCCGTACAACAATGTGATGTTGGATCATTAATTTTTAGCCTTCCTAGGTCTGGAATTCAGAGAGGTTAGAGCTGGGGCATGGCTTTGAGAGCTGGCTCGGACTGGGGCTTTAATCTGGTTGAGATACAGTAACATCAGAATATGGAAATATAATCAGGTGCTGGATTGGCCAAAGAATACATAGCTTTGCAAATTTAAAATGTAGTATAGATTAAAATCTGTTTTTTCTAGTAGCGATGTATGGAAGTGAGAGGTGGGCGGACCATAAAGAAGGCTGACCGCCAAAGAATTGATGCCTTTGAACTGTGGTGCTGGAGGAGACTCTTGAGAGTCCCCTGGACTGCAAGGAGAACAAACCTATCAATTCTAAAGGAAATCAACCCTGAGTGCTCACTGGAAGGACAGATCCTGAAGGTGAGGCTCCAGTACTTTGGCCATCTCATGAGAAGAGAAGATTCCCTGGAAAAGACCCTGCTGTTGGAGAAGGGGACAACAGAGGACAAGATGGTTGGACAGTGTCGTTGAAGCTATCAACATGAATCTGACCCAACTCCGGGAAGCAGTGAAAGACAGGAGGGCCTTGTGTGCTCTGGTCCATGGGGTCACAAAGAGTCGGACACAACTTAACGATTAAACAACAAAATATAATATGTGCCTAATGAGAAATTGGGATGGGGGGCAGGGGACGGGTCATGTGTTGCTGATGGAAATGGCTAGAAGTCCTGTTTGAAACCCTGGCCGCTGTCCTTCAGGGTTCTGTTTTGTCTCCTGTGTTATTTAACATCTACATCAAACTGCTTAGAGAGGTTGTCCAGAGTTTTGGAGTTTGGCATCACCAGTATGCAAAAAACACCCAACTCTAACTGTCCTTGTCATCTAAGGAAGAGGAAGCTGTTTCAGCTCTACATCAGTGTCTGATGTCAGTAATGGACTGGATGAGGGTCAATGTGCCTGGCGTGCTCTGGTCCATGGGGTCACGAAGAGTCAGACACAACTTAATGACTAAACAACAACAATAGATTAAAATGTTGTAACTCATAGCTCAGTGGCTTAGATAGAGGATGGGTATTCGAATCCCTGTTGTGGCTTCTTTTGATGGGGTGGGCTCGATGATCCATAGGTCTCTTCCAGTTCTGCAGTTCAACATGATAATGGTGATGAGTACTATTATCATGCAGATTTAGTCAGAGGAATCCTAGCTGTGTTCAATGTGGCTTACTCCAAGGCCAATTTTCATCACCCAATTTTCCATATTTTTCCCTCATGAGGTGAGATAAAGGAATTTAAACATTTAAATAAATGGTGGAACTCAGTTCTTCTTTTCTATATGGCGAATTTAGCAGTTGCAGACTACCCTTTCCAAATCTCCAACAAGTCTACTCTTATTTCTTCCCTGCTAGGCAGATGTTACATTGTCAGCTTTGAATGTGGTAATTACCAAAAGGGGTGTAAAAGATGTGAAGAGATGCTAACAATTAGTTTCCTTCTCTCTCATGCATGGATATGCACACACACGGCAGCACAATCCCCAGAGGTGACTATTAAATGCTTTTGGAGCTGACAGTGCTGTTTGTCTCACTTGTGTATTGCAGATGTATTTGCATTGTAGGTTCATCATTGTGTGCCACTTCAACATGAGCACATGACTTTACGGGTGTACCAAATATATATTGATATGGATAAAGAGAGATACAGGTATATTAATTTAGAAAAACAAAACAAGACAAAAGCTGTACAGTAATGCACTTTTGCCACAAACCTCAGGATACATTTTTACATTTTTTTCTGTTTCTTTGATGTAATTACTTAGCTAAATCTGTGTTTTGACAAATTAACATGTACTCTATTTTCCACCCTACACACATGCATGAGAATTATGTTTTTTTTCCTCAGACACTTTTTGTTCAGTTTATTTGAGGGATATTTACAGACTTGTAGCATTATCATAAACTGCTTCGGCAAAGTAACAGGTAATATCAGCCCAGGAGATTGTTGTTGTACTTGTAATTCTCTTTACTTAAGCCTCTGATTTGGGTTATTGGATTACATGCAGTAATGAATAGGGTTACAGTATTAAGTCGCTCTATGAAATTATGCAGTTAAAACATTTTAATAGAACAAAACTGTGTCCTATGTTGACTAGACAGCAGCTTTACTTGTCACTTCACTGCCCCATTTTTTAAAGCTATTATTGCTTATAAAAACTGGAGGTGTTTGTGACAGTCCCAGCATTGATATCTTTGATGTACTAGTATCATCTTTTTGCCATTTGTAGGATGTAATTTTGTTTCAAAACATGGTACTCAGTACCAGAGCAAAACAAGAGTTTCCCTGCATTCTTGTCTTTTAGGACAGAATTCATCCAGAAAGGAAAAATATCAATAAAAGGGGCAGGACTGCTGAATTACTTCCTGGAAGCTTTTGCACGAACCTTTTTAAATCAAGGCATCAAAAAAGTAAGTGCTTTACATTAATTTTTTTTTTAAAAAAATCCTTTCAGGGTTCTTTATGTCTTCCATATTTCACACTTCATGGACGTGTTTTGTTTTAACCTTTCAATAATTTGAATTGGCCCTAGAGGGAAGAAACCTACTGTTGTGTATATGTACCAGTGTACATAGATCAATATCCTTTATTTACTGCTGTTTGAGTTTCACCTATCGGAGATTTCATCCCAATGTAGATGAGACACATGCTTGAAATACAGGTGCTCCGCTTGAGGATGCCTGCGCTTGCATGTCTGTGGGCAGAATCAACGGCAGGCACAGTCCACCTCAACTGTCCCCTTTTAATCTCAATTCTCCACAGTGGGAGAACTGCTGCAAGACTCTGTGGCCAGTTTTTGAAATTGAAATTCATAGTGGGTCCTCTGAGCTGTGAACCAGCGTCACTTAATGGCTTTAGAGAAGCCACTCTTTTTCAGCCCCAGTTCAACACGTTCAATATTGTTCTCTCTAAGAATGAATTTAGGTGATGAATGCTCACATAAATGGGACTGAAACAGCAGGACTAAGAAAAAAGTGGGAAGTGTGAGCTACTTGGGGAATGGGAAAGTTGTTTGAAAGAAAGGGAAAATAAACCCTTCCCAAAGAATTTAGGGAGGACTGATGCAAGAAGTGAACACTGGTTGGCAAAGGTGGAAATGCATGGGGGTGGAGGGTATGGGCAGACATTACTCGGTGTAGGGATATGTTGCTACTAGAGATGGGCACAGACTGCTACTTTGGTGGTTCATGCTGATTCATTTACCAACCGAGCAGGTGTTCAGCAGTTCCCAGCCCTGACTTCTCTGGCAGGTGCCCACTCAAAGGCAATGCCTGGAGGAGGAAGGGCAGAGAAGCTGGGGTGATGCCTCTGATGGCCACCCACTGGAGGAGGCGGGGCTGAGAACTGCCAAACACCTGCTCGGCAGGTAAATGAACCGGTGTTAATGCCATCCTCCCTCCCTCCCTTAATTTGTGGAGATAATGGTGGTGATTTGCAAGATTGCTAAATGATGAAGGTGAAGAGCTTTGAACACTAAAAATAGTGCTATGCAAAAATAGTGCATCTGCTTTTTTTTAAACAAAATATCTATAATAAAGTGGATTTTGTTTTTGGGAAACAGTTAATGATTGTTTATAGTCTGCTGAGGTGAACACATTTATCTAGTTTGTTTTATCTAGGTATCATTGTTTCATCTAGGTATCAAAGGCAAACAGAAAAAAGGAAACAAACAAAATATCTAAGCCCTCTGTGTTATAAGCTGATATACATTTTACATCTATATGATGCCATTGGGAGAGGTCGTCTGGAGATTTGGAGTCTCGTGTCATCAATATGCTGATGACACACAACCTCTATTTCTGTATTCGTGAAAGCTTTCACGGCCGGGATCTAATGGTTGTTGTAGGTTTTTTGGGCTCTTTCGCCATGTTCTGAAGGTTGTACCAGAGTACAGAGTGCTGTCCTCTGAAGATGCCGGCCACAGAGACTGGCGAAACGTTAGGAAGAACAACCTTCAGAACACGGCCAAAGAGCCCGAAAAACCCACAACAGCCAAACTCTATTTCTCCTTTTCGTCATCAGCAGTGGATGCTGTCCAGTGCCTTGAACATTGCCTTGCTGCAGTGTTGGATGAGAGCAAACAACAATACTGTTGGAAAAGTGATTTTGAGTCAGTGCTGTGCTATATGTGAAGGAAAGCTCTGTAAGCTCCAGCTGCTCACATTGTGCTGCTTCATCACAGCATGTCGACCTTTTAGGTGGGGGAAAAGATCTATGAGATTTAAACTGCGACATGAAACAGTGAAACCTATATATCTGATTGTAGTGGGAAATAATATGAGAAAGTATTAAGTATGGTAACATTTAAACCCACATGATGACCTATTGTTAAATACAATTAAACATATATGTAGAAATAACAAGTCTACATATGTGTCTGCATGTATGTATAGGTAGGTAGATAGCTGATAAGGTGCCCAATGCAAGGTGATCCTTCCCAGTGTACCATTAGAATTTAGTGGTAAACTGATAATGGAGCTTTAGATACAGTGGGGTCTTGACTTGAGAACTTAATCCGTATTGGAAGGCGGTTCTCAAGTCAAAAAGTTCTCAGGTCAAATCTGCATTTCCCATAGGAATGCATTGAGAACCATTTGATCCCTATCTGCTCTTTTCCGTCCATAGAAACTAATGGGAAGCTGCTATTCCGCCTTCGACCACTAGAGGGGGATATTTTATTTCTTTTTTTTCTTAGGTCAAGAAAGGTTCAGGGAACGCAGGGAAAATACAGTCCAGGCAGTCCGAAGACTGTCTCCCAATCCACTCTCTAAACGCTGGGAGGAGTGAGGAAGCAGACAGGCACCCTTTTCACTGGCCAACAGTTAACTGAAAGTTCACATTTTGCCCTTTCCCTGCTTCCCACGTGGGGTTTTTTCAGTTCTTAACTCAAATCTAAGTACTTAAGTCAAGTCAATTTTTTCCTATGAGAGTGGTTCTTAAGTCAAAATGTTCTTAACTCAAGCCGTTCTTAAGTCAAGACCCCACTGTAAGCAGAACATTCAGTGACAAACTGGGAAGCCCTTTCAAACAAGAATTTCAATTGACTGCTGGATTTTGGCAGTGCAAGAGAGCCTCAGGGTTGCATATAGCTTGTGATCCATCTGTTGCCATCCCTGTGCTGAGGGTTTAAGGAAATGTGTTGCAAATGAAACTGCTAGCGTTATAATCCTCTTATATGAATCTACAGGTTGGCCATATTTGGAAAACTTCTCATGTTTTACCTTCATCTCAGAATGATCTGGGACATTTGTGGCTTTTTTTTTTGATGACTATGAAATGGAGGGTATATAAGACATATTTGGTACAGAGAAAAGGAATAGGGATGTTGCATGATGACAGCCCTCATGCATGTGTTTTGTTCGTAAATAGATTTCAACCACTACAATGCACTGGCCATCCCTTGAAATTGTTGGTCTGTTGATTGTACTGAAGATCTTCAGACAGAAAGTGGGACAGAAACAACCTAAATAAATAAGTATAGAGAACATTAAAAATGAAGCATTTATTCACAGTAGAAGGCTGTTACTTTTATTCCTGTCTTTCCTGTATTGTCAGCTTGTCAGCAACAGTGGAAGATATGATGCTGGAATAGATTAGACTTCTTGGACTAAGTTTCTTCTTCCAAGGTTTCTGATGGCTCCATCTAGATGACCCACAGCTACCACAAATTCAGCTGTTTTATTTCTTCTTACATACCAGTTCCTTCCTCTTTACCTGATTTTCCTCTAATCAGGCAACTGTGTTTTTTTAAACTTTACCATCAAATTGTGTGGCTTACAGACCAATTTCAAACCATGGTTTCAGGTTATGCTTTATGGGGTGGGAATTAGCCTATGGAAAGTCTTGAAAGCCTTAGAATGTGACATATCAACCATGTGGTGTTGGAGAAAATAAACTTTATCTTTTAAAATATTGAGCTATTCCATTACTTGTTAGTCAGGATCATAATGTGGCTGTCTGAGAGCTCCTGCAATTCAAAGAGGGATATTTTACAAGATGTGGTCAGTATAGATTTTAAGCTTGCATGTGATACTATAAATAAAAAGCAGTTCACAGTCAAAAGAAGTTTTTTTAAAAAAAATATTTTTCAAAATACAAAATTTGAAAATTTGAGACTAGAATGGATTGCAGGTGAACCCACTGAAGCCACTACTGACAACTTTAGTAACAGAAATCTAATATAGGGTAAGGAAAATCTAAGAATGGGAGGGAACACAGGATACAGTATATCAATACAAGGATTTAATTGACTATGACAGGGTGAAGTGGTCTGTGGTGAACATATTATTCAGATAAAAGGCTTGTATCTGCTTTAGTGTAAGTGCTTTTAGATCAGGGCTCGTTTGCTCTCCTTTTAAAGATCAAACTGAAAAGTCCGATAATATTTGAAAAACTAGTTATTGCTGATAGCTAACATATTTTGCCTGAATCCTTTTAGAATATGAATGTGAGTTTTAACAAGTGAAAGATTTTATGTCAGAATGTTGGAGAAAATACGTTCACCTAAGCAGAGAAAATGGTTGGATACAGGCAGTAGCCTTTTTAAAACATGAACCTCAGAAGGCATGGCCTAAAACACAGTCGCATCTAGAACAGATCCACAGAATCAACAAAGCTTTCAGAAGTCAACATTTCATTGATTCAGTAGGTCTGTTCTACTGGGGAGTAACAATGATATTAAGCCCAATAGTTGTAAGGTGTTATCTTAAGTGGTACATTGTAGCTGCAATCTTAGGTATGTAGTTCTGTCCCCACTTACCACAGTTAATCATAGTCAGACAAGGTAGTTCTGTCCCCACATACCACAGTTAATCATAGTCAGACAAGAACGTGGAATTATTCTACAACTCCCAGTCACATGTAAAAATTGAAGTTAAAGGTCAAGTTATTGGAAAGTCCAGGGGGGAAAAATGTACTTTTTTTATTTGAGAGGGATATGATTGCCAACGTTAGAAGTGCCAGGAGGAGGATAAAAATTTTAGGAACTCAAGGAATCATAGTTACAAATGCAACCTGTTGATCTGTTTACAATTTGATTGATTTAATTTAGTTTAGTTTAAATTTAGTTTCTCTTTTAACTCGTATGAGTTTCTCTTTTAACATATATATGTGTGCATGTGTTTGTGCTCTCTGGAGAAGTGTGCAGGGCAATCCTGTATAGAGATTTTGCTATATTTAATGGGGGAGGGGTAGGTAAAAAGAAACATTTTTATGTTTTAGATTTACAACCAGCATCCAAAACTCAAAATACCACATTGGAGGCCTGTGTATAAAAGCAGTTAATTGGTTGGCTCACATAGGAAACAAACAAACAAACAAACAAACAAACAAACAAACAAACAAACAGGAAACCAGGAGAAATCTCATGCAGTTTGCACCTAGTTCAGCAGAGAACTAGCCTGAGCCACTGAACCAACTAGCAAACAAGATGATGAACACCCCTCCCCACCCCCACAAAAAATCCTAATAGATACAGTACTTCTTTAGTGTTCTTTCTTTAAAAACCTGGAAGGTTTCTACGTAGCTGAACAAGGTTGTTACACTTTGGCATTCCAAAGCATATGTTCACAACTCATACATTCTTTTTCACTCATTTTCAGTGAAAATAAGATCTAGACCATTTAGTTGCTGTGTAGCCATTTAGAGACTGTATGGACAGACAATGTCATAGCTGCTTATCTTTACAGCATGGAATATTATCTTAGCCCTTGATTAAGTTTGTTCCAGTTTTCATGAGTGTGCTGATATCACATCTCCTATGCTGATCAGAGCCTGGGTGTTTGGGTGACTAGTACTATATAAATCTGGATGAGTGCTGTGGGGTGGTGGTTAAAGAACTAAGGGTCTACACTCATAGAATTTCACTCTTCCCTTCTAGTGAAAAGGAAACCTCTGTGTGTTTAATAGAGCATGTCACTTCCTAAAACTCAGATGTCTTGGGAAGAGGTGTGGAAAGCCACATATGTACCAGGTGCTAGGAAAATGTTGGATCACTGCCAGTTTCAATAATGCAGACCAGTTAACTGGGCTGTCACTGAGTAATCCAGTGACAGCCCAAATTTTAAAATAAAATTTAAAAATGTCTCCTTCCAACTTGTGTAGAAAATTGGCTCAATACATAATAATTTAAGCAAGCACTTTCTTTTCTCTCTCCTTCTTTTATTACCACAAGAACAGAAAACTGGTTAACGCATCCCATCAGTCTAAATTAAGTTTGCCAGCAGTTACTAACGAGAGTACTAATTGACATGTGAACACTCTGAGATTTTCCTTGGGCATTATGAGATATTTATTGACTCAGTTATGTTCACAACATATTTTTTCTCCTTCACCTTCCTTTTTCAGTCTTAAGGGGAATCATTTGATAAAGAGCTGATCAAGAAAAAAAGGGAAAATTTTCTAAAAATGAATAAGGAATGAAGGGCAGCTGTAAGCATCACATTTTTGTTCACCTAGACATTGTTAAATCAAAGTATGATCAATAGATACATTTCAATTAAAGTTCTTATGCTTATTTATATATTTAAATGAGATAAAAGCTACATGTTCATCTTGCAGTTAGGATCTCAGATGAGTGCACATAAACATTCAAAACTTGTGTATGTGCACTCATCTGCAGCAGAATTAAACATAACATAATATTAAGTAATACATACCACTGGGAAGAATGATAAAGAAGTACGCTTTATTCAGCCATCTGAAAACATAAATATTTTAAAAGTTGTGGCAAATGGCAAATCTTTAACCTGTAACTGAAAAGAATACAAAGCCAAGTTTAATACTCTCAGTAGAGCATTCCAGCATTGGAATGCAGCCACAATATGACCCTTTTCTTGTTCCATGCCCAATGCACTTTTTAAGACAGAACATACAAGAAAACCTTTTTTCAGCATGAGAGGATTTATTTTATTTCATTTTTTACCATTTGTTGGCTGCCATTCTTCCGTGAGGGGACTCAAGGCAGCTCATGGCATTAAAAACAAGTAAAATTAATAACATAATCACTACACACTAAAAACATTTAAACTATAGCAATAATAAAAAATACATTAAGCAATGGAAAACATCAAAAACTTTATCTAAAAAACTTACTTAGCTAAAAAGCCAGCATCCAGGATTCAATGGTGGTTATTAAAACCTGCCTGAACAGGTGGGTCTTCAACTTTTTGTTGAAGGGTAAAAGGGAGGGAGCTGAACTCAGCATTTGTGTGGAGGAAGCACTGCTTCTGAAGTTTGGTTCCCAGGCAGTTTAGGCCTTTGAACAATAAGGACCTGCATCTTAATCTAGGCTGAGGATAATGTGACATGGTGATATATTTCCTTCAGATATATGTTAACATGGCTCTATCGTTCAGACCAGCCAACAGCCTAGTTACTGAATTTTGTGCTCCATGAAAGTTATTGCCTTTCCTAAAAGGTCAAACCTGTGCTAAATTCAGATGATTTACAATGCAGTGATGCTCTTAAAATGCAGAACAAATTTTCCATAACCATTAAGATCCTTATATTTTTACATTATAGCAGAGGTTGGGCTAGGGTTGGGGAAAATATTCAGTCCTCCAAATGGTTTGAACTTCAGCTCCCAGCCAACAGAGCTACTTGTAAGGGATGATGAAAGCTGCTCTTATTATGATGATGTCATTGCCCCTCTTCTCTCTCTCTCTCTCTCTCTCTCTCTCTGTGTGTGTGTATGAGAGAGAGAGAGAGAGAGAGAGAGAGAGAGAGAATGAGTCTTCTTTATTTACAGTCCTTAGACCTATCATACATAGAAGCAGACAACCCAGATCTACACAGTCTCTGCAATATGTAAAAACATCAAACATAGACATAAAGCAAACAAATATACAAGCAATTCAAAACCCTCCATACCAATACCAGAGTCAAGAATGAGGAAATTTCTAAAACTTGAGAATCACCAAACAGAACCCAGCTACTATGTATGATATCTTACTATCCCTGTCCAAGAGGTGATACTCTAGTCTTGTTTTCTCTGATTGGCCAGGGATGTTTTCAATCAATGGGGTCATAGTCCGATTTCATACTACTGCATAATGTGAGCAGCAGAAAAACATGTGCTCCATGGACTTGACCTCGCCAAGAGAGCAGGAACACAGCCTCTCAGCAAGTGGGACATCCTTGTCCTTCCCTTCAAGCATAGTAGAGGGAAGGGAAGCTGCTGTTTAAAACATTAGGAGAGCCAAATGTTCTCTGACAACCTCTGACATGCAGTCTTCTCTTCTTTTTAAAAATTATTTTTATGAAAAGTTCTTTTTTATGTTTGTAATTAAAATACAAATTGAAAACATATTAAAACAGTGCTTTAAATTACAATTGGTTGCCATTGCAACCAATTTACTCTCTCTCTCTCTCTCTCTCTCTCTCTCTCTGTGTGTGTGTTAGCAAATGTGTTGAAGTTGTTTTTTTTCCTCCCATCACTTTCATATGGACATGAGTTGCTATGGAAGCTTATTACTGTGTCTTACCTATCTGTTCCTAACGACTAGATTTGTCATTTGTCCAAAATGTCTGCCATACACTATTTGTCTCCAGTATCTTGAAACAAGTAACACAGATGGGTCTAAGAGCATGATTCCAAGATTGTTTTCTTCTTGAGTTTGATGACACTTAGTGAAATTTCCTTGTTATTTCCTTCACTTTTCCTATATGTTTTCCCTCTCTTGTTTAGCTTTCCAAAGTGCCCATCTGCTAATCAGTTTAATGGCACCTTCTGACATCCCAGAGGTCCGTGTGACTAAAAAAGCAGCTGCTGAGGGGAGTAAAATGGCAGTTGCAAAGACATTGTGAGGAAAATATGATTTCCTAGTTACCTTATGTCCTTGGGCGGTGTTCCATTATGAATGCTAACATTAAAAACCATGCTGTCAGCACAACCCATTGAACTGCTTTATGCCAGATCAGACCATTTGTCTACTCCAGTCTTACCTGTTCCAACTGGGAGCAGCTTTTCAGGATCATAGTTCAAGGTTGTTTGCATCCCCTGCTACCTGAACCTTTTAAGCAATAATATTGGGAACTGAAGTTGGGGCTTCCTGCATACAGAGCATGTGCTCTGAGCTGCGGCCCTCCCTCAATAAGAAGATAAGCATCTTGTCAGGAAGCCTCTGTTTTTTAATGTTGGCAATCTGTTCTTCCTAATAGTCTAACCAGTGTGAAAGTGCCTGGATGACCTTTAAAAAGAGATATTTCATTTTTGAAGAATGGACTATTCATAATCATAGTGGTAATGTATTTAAATAGTAAAATTACATGTCTTTGTTCTTTGTATGCAGAGTGCTTTGATCATGGAGAAACTTCTGCAAGAGCAGTTTGGGAGTCCATTTGTATAACAAGGAAAAGTAAGTATGCAGATACTGTTTCCAGTGTCATAAGAATGTGACCACTGAAGATTCAGTTCTTCAGAAACTCTTCAGTTTATGAATGTGGAATACTGTGCGCTGTATCCACAATTCAGAATGCCAGGAAAAGGTCCAATATTGTTGCACAATATTGTGCCCACATGCCAGCAGGAAAAAGGATGCCATGGATGGCATAATGCTGACTGCTGCACAAATGGCAGCAGCCAAGATGGTTTAGAGGACATCCTCTTGTGCTCACTACCCTTCACAAAGAGACACTTAAGCAGAGAAACATCCCAGAAGCTGACATTTGCTCTTCATTAATTAACCACTTCTCATCCAAAGTTCTCTAGCCTGGGTTCTTGCCAAATAATTAAAAAAAAGGGGGGATGGGGCAAACCATTCTCATTCAAGCGAAGCAAAATTGGTCTTTTCAGGTCGTATGAACTAGTTTAAATCTGGGGACATTTGGGCTCACCTATTTCTGAATGGAGGATTAAACAGTTTTACTTTTTAAAAATCATAATTCAAAACCCTTTTGCCCAGACCTCTCCAAATTTGGCACAGAAAAAAACCAGACCTTTTGCTACAACTGTGCCAAATTTAGTGCTGATTCAAAGCCCAGTTTAAAAGTTACATATATTAATTTTGCTCCTGCAATTTTGAAATTGCTTTATAGGATGTACCTTCCTCTGCCAGCACAAGACCATTGTTGCACTCTTGTATAGCGATAATAATAATCATAGCTTGTAAGTAATGTTCATTTTTCTAGTGCCAAACTTTTACCGCTTCTTGCACAAGAATCAAATCCAAATCCTTGTGCAAGCATTTTCACAATTCATTTCAATTGCATTGTGCTAACTGCTGCCTGTGTTGATTGTTGCATAGGTGTTTTCACATCCTGTAGCAGAACATTCAACCATGAGCCGAAAAAAAGGTAGTTTTTCCACTAGCATTTCACTAGATACAACCAATCGGCTTTAAAAATGTACTTTGCCCCTAGTATTGTTTATGGTAGATTCTGTTTGAGTTCTTGTTTAAAAGCTCTTGTTTATCATCTTTCTGCCCACTTAGGCTCCCAAAGGATCCTTCATAGTTGTAGAAAAGAGCAAATGGTTATTGATTGGTGTTGTAATAAATGCTTTTCTATGAAATGCTTTCTTTGTACCTTTCAACAGGAGAAACCACCATGTGTTGAAGACTGAACCACATCAATATGTCCTCATTACCAAATCCTGCTTCTTGGTGAAGTTAACTTTCCTTATTTTAAGAAGGAAAGTCTGAGTGAAAGAAGACAGTGGAATACAAACTACCTCAAGTAACATAAATAGAACAGCATCATTATGTTCTCAGTGTGATCATGGACAACAAAAGTTGTACTCTGGAAAAAAGTGTCAGTGTACATTATGTTTTAACCTCCAAAGAATTCAGTGATCAATCGGAAAAATAACCAACAAAAGTATTTGTTTCTGCGAAGGGACTGTTTTTTCAGCCAGGAGGAGCAGACTTTTAATCCATTTTCTGTTCCACAAAATGTATTCCATGGATTCACAACTGAAACTGAGATAAATGATTACTAGATACTGTGAAATGGTAACAGGTGATAACATGGGGACTCCTCAAAACTTCAGTTGGTTATTATTTTGAGAATTGCAGTTTTCTGTGAAAGAATGAAATAATATTATTTCGCGATCCAGAAATCTGCTGTCATTTCCATTTCAATCTGATGAGGAAGATATCTAGTTTCCTTCACATTTGGAGATATTGTCTGACCTGCAACTGACGTAGAGCTGGAAGGGGACCCCTGGGCCATTGAATCCAGCCCCTGTCAAGGAGGCACAGTGGGGAGTTCAACTCCCAATCTGGCTCCCCAGACAGAGACCTAAACCACTGAGCTATATCCCTGTAAAATGTGAAACATTGCAAAACCCTGGTAGTTTTTCTGAGCCTACAAAAACTAAAAGTCTTTAAATGTTGCCTTAATATTCTCACAAAACTTTTTTTAAAAGATGGTAAGTTTGATATACACTTTGTTTAAATTACCATCTAATTAAATGGTAAATTGGCTTCAGGCTTCAGGATCTTGTTTCTGATTTGAATCTCCTCGGTTTTTTATACATGGTGTTTGTAAACTCTTCAATATATTTAAAGTGAGAAATTTTATTTGAATATTCTTATCAGCCCAGCTGAAGGGGCGAGGAGGTTCTGTGCTGCCAACTGTTTGCATCTGTGCATGTAATGTTCTTCCTTTTTGGGATATTTTCTCAACATTATACCATTACCTGAAATACTAGCCTGGGAGAACAGTTAATGTCTCCCCACCATCAATAATTCTTCTACATTGTATGCACACTGTAAATATGATATTGTCTGCTGTGTGATACTTATGTAAACACTCAGTGTTAGGAATATTTACATCTAGGATAAATAAAATTGTGTCCTAAAGTAAGGAGGATTCTGTTTAGACAAAAAAAAATCGTGTCCCTTTCAACCTTGTCACCTGTGGTTTCATGACTGAGATTGTTGGAGCAGCTGGGATTAAATTTAGATTTACCAGGCACAGCAGTTATGTCAGGTCATTTTTAATTCATCTCCTTCAGCAATAAGCCAGCCTAACCAGTCACTTGAAGAGCTGTTTGACAGCCAGCTAATAGGGCTCAAGAGCATGCCAACTGCCCTGCTGGCTGCTTTTGGTTCCTGCTTCCTCTTGCTAACCATCTTGAGGGCAGGAAGTGAGAAGAAGAGACACGTGTTTCCAAGTTGCTTTGATCCTGGGAAACAATTGATATCTGCCTTCCTTTATGTGTGGGGTTTTCTCCCCAATTTTTCTACATGCAAGGTGCTAAAACTGGGAAACCAGAGACAGGGAGAAAAGGTGATACTTATTTGAGCAAAATGGAAATAGGAGATAAGATATGTGGATGTTGTCAACAACATTATGCCAGGAGGCAAATGACAACTCCACTGGATGTTTCATCATCACTTTATTCTCATCCAGTACTGTCAATGAATGTGAAAGTAATGCCATTTGCATCATTGATAGGAAGTTGCTAAGGAGTGCATTAGTGCCTTAAACAGAACATATTTCTGTGTGTGCGTGTGCGTGTGCATATGCGTATGCACCTGTCACTTCACAATTCATAGAGAACCATTCAAGCAAGAAGCCATACTTTGAAAATTTACCACTTCTCCACCCTCCTCAAGGTCCTTTATTCCCTTGTGAGCTCTTGAAATGGCATGTGCAGAAGTGATGTGAAGGCACTAATATGTGAGAATTCTCAAGACTTGTGTCACTCTGAATTTCTCCACTTTTTTCTTGAAAGGTAGCCATATAAGGAGGCTGATCATACCAGAGTGCAGAGCATGTAAGAATGGGTTCAAGCTACAGGAAGCCAGATTTAGACTGACTGTCAGGAAAAAGTCTTAACTGTTAGAGCAGTACAACAATGGAACCAGTTACCTGGAGCATCGTGAGCACTCCAGTGCTAGAGACATTCAAAGGAGAATGGGACAACCACCTGTAAGATCTTTGATTAGGATTCCTGCATTGAGCAGGGAGTTGGACTCAATGACTTTATAAGCCCCCTCCAACTCAATTATTCTATGATTCTGTGATAGTTCATGGATAAGTGATGGCACCTGGCACCAAGCAGGTGGTTTTTGCTATTTAAATACTCAGAGAAGATCACAGATCACAATATTTGTTTTACCAAGAAAATCTTTGAGACCCTTCAGTCTCAGTACTCGCACGAATCTGCTCTCTGTTAATTGACACCTGTTGATCAGAACCTGGTTACACTTCCCAAACTAGTTGAACCCTATTTAAGTATTGCTCAGTGTACCATAGTCTCTGAGGATATCTAGGAAAGGATAAAACCTTTTTGTTGTTGTTAATGTGAAATTCTTCCATTGGTAAATATGGCACTTGAAAATGTGTGCCCTCCCCCCTGATGTTGGACTGCAATTGCCAACATCAGGTTATAGAGTCCCAGTACTTTACCTGACCCTCAGCTCCCCCACGTAGCCTGGTGACAGCTGAACTCTGGGGGATCAGAAGACATTCCTCTCTACAAGGAAGAGCTTTATTGTTTGTGTGGAATGTAGATAGACCTTAGCACTTCAGAATATAAGACGTCATCTGGGAATCTTAGCACAAATGCTTTATCCTTGTTCTGGGTAGAAGAATAGGTTATATATCACTCAGGGTGAAGTAGTTGTATCTTCAGACATTTTTGTCCTTTTATTCTCCTATTTCTGAGTAGAAGAGTGAATCAACAAAGCTCATGGTATTTTGTACTCTTTTATTTAATCTATATTTCATACACAAGAAAACTATCACTCCAAAAAGGTTGGAACTTGTAGCCATAAAAAGTACAGTTAGGAAAAGATATTTCAGCCATATTCTGAAATCCATTGAATATAATTCATAGCCTTGCCCCACCCCAAAGAAGAACAAGAAGAAAGTCTCTTACCTATTATGCTTGCATAAAAATCATGAGTTGTAGGCATGGTGCTAATTTCTCCCCTCAATTCTGAGTAACAACCATTTTTATATGTTTTCTTTAGTGACGTTACCTGTGGCTTGTTTATTTTACAATTTCATTCCCATTAAACAACCACATTAACCTGGCACTAACATTCAACATCTTTCTATGTATCAGTTTGTTTGCAGAGTGTACAGTTAATAACATCTGGTCTAATTTTGCTCATAGAGTGAATGGCAACATCCTTATCATCCTACCTAGGGAATGTGTTTGCCATACAAAACTATAACTTGCTGAGTAAGAGGATTATGATTATAAGAACTGAAACATAGTTTGTAATCCAATCCAGATGAACAGCTCACACCTTGCCAAAATGTTGAATTTATAAACATTGCTTAATTCACATGGAAGATTACATTAACTTTTATTCCCACCAGGTGACAGCAATGGAATACTTACTGTACTTGTCTCCAGTTGTTTTTGGTAATATAATCATGAATGCTTACGTTTGATATAATAAAGAAACATACTTATTTTACTTGTATTGAGAACAATTTGCGTCTTTGGTGCCTCCCCCAAAGTCATTCCTGACTTCTCTTCAAGTAACGTTGGTACTAAAGATACACATACTTACACTTGACATTTTCAGAACAGACACAGATACATTTCTTGTTACCTTTGCTTCTATCCATTACTGACTTGGAATTTAGTATTCTCAGTATACATGAATTGCTTGCAGGCATTAAGCGCAACAAGTACATTATTTTACCCAGTAAGCTCAGTTTAGTACAAGATAATAATAATTAACTACATATTCATATTATTGCTTGTAACCTAATTTGTCTGTGTGCAGTATAAATTAACACGTTTACAATCCAAAAGACTTGCTGTACAAATAATAGTGTACATTTTGCAAAGTTGCCAATAAGTCCTTCACTAAACTTTGTACATCTTCCACAAGAGCTTCTAGTGCTGCTTTATCTCACTGTAAACAATTCTACTGAAAGATTCAAGGACAGAAGAGCAGCTCCCTTGTGTTTGTACTTTCACTAGTTAATTGAATGATTCTCATGAACAAAATTTCATGACAAATGGCCATGCTGGTAAAAGCTGATTGATGTTGCAGTTCAGCTACATATTGAGGGCCACATGTTTTCCCACCTTAAATTTCCAAGCCTTTAAGCCCAAGAGGTGTAGATCAAAATAACCTTTTTGTACAATCTATTTTTAGAACAGTACAGTCTTCGCATATATATATTAAGGTCAGCTATATGGCACTAAAACAAACAAACAGAAAGGAAAGATGTACCTCATGGTGCACTACAGCACTGCAGTGAAGACTCCACTCACGCTCTGTATTCAGTCTTGTGGTTCAGCCTTCCTTCCTTCTGAAGACAATAAATTGAGCTAATTGTGGAGGGGCAATGTGTATCCTGCATAATTATGTTGTAAACTGCCCTTAGAGAGCTTTAAGAACTATGGGGCAGTATATAAACAGTAAGTATCCTTTGCTTCGAAATGGAACAAATTTAAGGAAACATGACTATTAAATATTAAATTGTTTAAGACAAATCTTACAAGTAAGAATATGAAGAAAGGTTCATCAGAGCCAACAATTATGAACATTCTTACAACTGACAGAATAATAAAAAACATACAAACACATGATGTTTCTGCCATGTAAACCCCCCTCCCCCCTCCTTTTGACAGCTCCAGAATGTTGGTGCGGGAGACTGGTAGGGGGAAGCTCTGGAGAGTCTTATCACAGTGGAGTTGATCATCATAGCAAGCCAGTGTATGAGCCTGCATGTGTTGACCTCTAGAACATGCTGCATGCACCAATAGCAATGGAACACAATTCCACAAATTGTTCCAATTAACCACTGGCAAAGTTGCTTGGGAAGCTTGTCAGCTTTATGTTTTGTTTGTGGATTATGAGGTTGGCTGCTCTGCACTTGGATAGATCTCAGCTTTGTAGAACACAAATGTCTGGATGCTTTGAAGCACTTAGGATGTGTAAAAATGCAACTATGCTCATGAATTTAGTCATGCTCAAGTGGTTATGGCATGTGTTCCTCGAAAATGTGATTCAGAAAGAATTGTAGACTCCTCTTTTTTTGCGTAGAAATTAAACATAAATAATATTTTGAGAATCTGATTCTTAACCCACAAATCATTTTTACATGCTGAATCTTTAACCGTTAAGTATAATAGTTATCATTCGTTATCCTAGAACATGCTTGACAGTATGTATGTGCTGAAAATCAATAATTAAGGAATGGCCAATGAAATAATAAATGATGCTTTTCATTTCAATATCTGTAATAAATGTGCAATTTGATTAAAAATGGGTTCTGCCCCTTCATGTTTGCCCTTCAGAAAGTCTATTGGTATTCTGCACACTCTGATTCTTTGCTAAAATGTGTAACAAAAACACACACACTAAATCAGGTTTCAGAATGAATTACTTAGAAATTATAGGAAACAGCATAAAGGATGACTCCTGAGTGAAAAGCAGAAAGGGTGAGGAATAATAAACTAGCCACAAGGTTATTCTAACTTGTGAAGATTCTGGATTGAATATGTTAATGAGGGAAGATTTCTACCTTTTTCAAAACTTTGGCCATATTTTTTATTTAATTAATAATATGTGCATGAAATTGTTGTGTTAAAATGTAGGAGTCGCAAAGACATACATGGGCTTGTTAGACTTTTTATATTTCTGAATGCTTGTGTGTTAAGCCACAACAGACATTGCCCTTCTTTATTTGTTTCCTAGTGAAATGTATTCCAACTGGCTAGATAGGTCAGTGAGCTTGGTAATTGGCGGCAGAGCCAGATGTCAGAAGTCTGATTTCCCAATGTGTCTCCTGAGGAAAAAACAAACAAACAAATGGTGTGATGCCGGGCATGCGGCATAGTCTCAGAGTGCCCCTAGAGCAGTGGTCCCCAATCTTGGGCCTCCATATGTTCTTGGACTAAAACTCCCAGAAGCCTTCACCACCACTACTGCTGGCCAGGATTTCTGGGAGTTGAAGTCCAAGAATATCTGGAGGCCCAAGGTTAGGGACCCCAGCCCTAGAGGAAGGGAATGACAAACCACTTCTAAGTACTTTGTATCCAGAAGACCCTGAATAGGTTTGCCATAAGCCAGAATTAACCTGACAGTACATACTATTATTAAAATGTATCACAAAATTTGAAAAAGAACTGAGAAAAAAGGATAATTGGACATACAAATAAGGTTGGATTCCCACCAGTATTAGGAGATTTAAGGATGTGAATGATTAAGTGTTTGTACTCATGGCTACTTCTGACCTGCTGTCATAGGAAATGTTAATATTTTAGGCAGTTGTAAGAAGCAACTAAAAATGGCAACCATGAAAAAAAATCTAACAGTAACATCCCATTTATACTCCCAGTTAACCAGCCCTTATCCTTCTGTAGTATACTGCAAGCTACAGGGGACTCAAAACAAGCCAATCCTGCCTTTTCTCATTCTCAGGCAGACCAATGGAGGTGGAGGAAAGTGTTAGTGTAAATACTTATGTGGATCAGCAAAATGGCCTGGAGTACATTATTGCCTAAATGTGTGAGAATCATCAGAGACTGGATTTGTCAATTCACCTGGAAAACTATTCACACGTGGCAACTCATGGTTTGAGGGCAGTACAACAAGGACGTTTGTTTACACCAGCTCTTGCGAGATGTATCATGGTGAATGATACTTTGAATGATTGAGTGTAATCATGACTGATTCTGACATGCTGCAATAGAAAATATTAAAAAAGTAATAATTTCTCTGTTGTGGCCCCCATCCCTCTGGCATGAGCTTCCTACAGAGGTTCATCAGGCACCACTCCTCTCAGTTTTCAGGAAGCTGATTCAATCCTGACTGTACAAAGCTGCCTTTTACTAGTACAGTATTTTAATTAATTGACCTGAGATGTTGAAATTTGTTTTAAGTGTGTTTAATTCATTTAAACCCGATTCAGCTGAAGACAGGGTTTTGTTGTATTTATTGCATTTGTGTGTGTGTGTTTTGTTTTATTATAATTTTATTTCCATGCATTGTGAACCACCCGGAGAATGTTTGCACAGATGGAGCAGTATAGTAGTCAAATGAATGAATGAATGAATGAATGAATGAATGAATGAATGAATGAATGAATGAATGAATATTTTATATATAAGAGGTGAGTGAAAATGTCAACACAATGTTGAAAAACACAGGAAAACCTAACAGGAATATTCCACTCAGACTTGCATCTCTGTCCTGCTGTAGAATATTGCAAGCTACAATAGGCTAATCCTCTCTCATTCTCAGGCTTCCTTTCTGCTTTTTTTCTTTTCTGGTATTGCATAGCTTGTGCAGGCCACTGAGTGTGCTCAGTTCACCTGCCTTTTTTAAAAAAATGTAATTTAAATACCTTAGGATTCATGCTGCCATCTTTCTCCTGCCTCTCATTGGCACTGTTCTGGCTTCAATCCTGTGGGTACTACTCATTAGTAAAGTGGATGTTGGGCTGGCAACAAAATGTTTTCATTGTATACTTGCATCTTACAGGTCATCTCTGATTCAGAGCGTCCAGCCAGTGGTTCTCTCCAAGCAGAGTATTCAGCTTCCCATCCTAATATTTCTGCTCCTCCATACATAATCCATGTTCCATGCTACCAGACATACTTAGCCAGCTGGGGGTGGGGAGAGATTTCTGCCCTTCTTTGTACATCTGTCAACATCCTGATGAATCTGCCTTGTTTCTCAATGGCCCAGTTTCTCTCCACTTCTGTCACCACTCACCATCCGAGTGTACTTTTAGTAAGAGAAAGAACAATGTTTCTGTGTTTGTGAAACTCTTGCACTGAGATTTGAGAGATCCTGGCTCAAGTAGCCACATGAAGCCCACCGGATCAACCTGGACCAGCTACACTTGCATTGTCCTCACTTCCAGGAGCTCTGGGAGGATAAACTGAGGAGGAGAAGAGCCATATATGCTTCCTTTAGCAATTTGGAGGGAAAGTGAGACGTAAAGGTCTGATTTTGCATTTCTCCTGCACCTCACCATACTTGTACCATACGTTTAGCTCAGGGGCTTAGATATCTGGCTGCAGAGCCAGAGGGGAGTTCAATTCCACACCGTGCATTCCAGAACAACCAGCCTGTGTGGCCTTGGGTAAGCTGCACAGTCCCAGGGTGCTCCCAGAAGAAAGGAATGATAAATCACTTCCTAATACCCTTTGTCATGTTCCCCATGTGGCCCCTGCTTGATTAACCAAACTAAGAGCTCACACTGTGTCTTTTAGCTGCCACCAGTTGATTATATCAACATTATCTATTATTAATGATTGCAGTCCAGGCCATATGTCATTTTAAAAGAATCAAATAGAAATTGTTTATTGTTACAGATGTAGATATTTAAAGCAATGTTGTTAACTCTTAAACAAACACCCTCCTTTATCCACTCTCAAACACCACTCTCCGGCCCAAATTCCAAAAACTCTCTCAACTCTCTATCTAACTCCGTATCTAACTCCCCCTCCTCCTACTGAGTCTCTTATATCTCGTGACTCCACCCTCCACCACTCCCATTGGTCTATGCAAATAGCATATGAATATTCATGACCTGGGCGGATGCCACATTCTCTACTTAGAAAACTCTGGACAGGGTCACTGTAAGTTAGAATTGACTTGATGGCACATGATTATTGTTTACCATACATCTCACTGTTCACTAATTGGAAAGAAAACCCCTTCCAATATGTTGTGACTGATGAGGTGCTTGAGAGTTTGAAAATTCACAGGTTAGATTGCTTAAAAACCTTTCAACACAATCTTACCAGTGAAATAAGTCTAGGGAAATGTATGTAAGCATTCTCTATGCCTAGGAGTGCAGTCTCTTCCCCCCGCCCAGCAACTTTTTCGGAAAACAACAGCTTTCTCTTGTAAAGAGGAAGCAGAGGCCCTAACTGATCTTTTTGACAGTGAGTTTGATATGCTATCAGTTTTAACTGGAGAGGTTTGGCTGTAGCATGCAATTATACTCGGATGTAACATTATTGCACAGAGTGACAGCCTGTCAGGTAACAAGAGTCAAATGGTAGAATGAAGACATCCTGCCCATCCTGGAAAAACCGAAGTGCCTTTGTAGAGAAATGACAGGAAGAGAGGAACTAAAATAGCTCTGAGCCAACAGTTTTAGGATTTCTTGAAGAAAGAAAGACACCTTGTGTTTTTGCAAATGTCTGCCTCATGGAGAATGGGAAATACATTAATTGGGAATGGGGTTGGACATCTGGAGGACAAGAGGAGATTGGAGCTTTTTTGACAAATAAAAGCAAGGTATTTGAGCTCAGGAAATAGATAGAAAGATGGGGTAATGGGGAGCCAGGGTGCTGTCAGGGACAGAGCATCAGACTAGGACTCTCCTTGAACCTCTCACATACCTTGAAAACCCTGTTAGGATTGCCATAAGCTGAAAGGTACTTGATGGCACACAACAAGAGGCTTTGTTGACTCGGTTTCATCACATTATGGTCTGTGTGTACAGTTCAGAGCCCTCAGATCAGAGAAGCATTCCGTATTTATGTGAAGATGCAACCATGGCTAATTAAAACACACTTTTTAAGGAGTTATGAGTTAGTGTTCATGAGTTGTTTGTGTTGGTGAGGCTTCAGATGATGTATGACAGTCCAAGATGTAATGGATGCAATTGGGTGGGCAACCTCTTGCCTCCAGATGTTTGGGGATGCTGTTCCTTTAAGCCCAGCCAGCATGGCCAGGGATCAAGGATTATAGAAATTGTTGCCCTACCTATCTGGATGGCACCAGGTTGTCTGACTTTCAGGTAGAATCGTGCAATCGTAAAATCATATAATCATGCAGTTGGAAAGGATGTATAAAGCCATCAAGTCCAACCCCCTGCTCAATGCAATCAAAGCAGATCTAATATGTTTTTCCTTATATTTAGCCTAAATTTGCCTTTCTGCAGCTTGAGCTCATTATTACTTATTCTGCACTCTTGGAAGATTGAGAACAGATCCTGCCCCTTCCCTGTTCAACTACCTTTCAAGTAGTTGAAAAGTGCTATCATATCTCCCCTCACTCTTCTTTTCTCAAAGCTAAACATGCCCAGTTCTTTCAGTCTTTCCTCATACAGCTTGGTTGACAGTCCCCTGATCATCCTTGTTGCCCTCTGCTGAACTTTTTCCAATTTGTTAGCATCTATCTTCAAGTGTCATATCCAGAACTGGACATGTTACTCAAGATGAGGCCCAACCAGTGGAAAAGAGAGGGGGGACTAGTACCTCATACTAAATAGAGAGGGGACTAATACCTCATACCTGCTCGATTGGGGTAGGTGGGGC